CCAAACTTGACGGTCTCCATTTCGATGCTATTTCTGAGTTGGATAGAGATGGGCTTGAGATTCCTTTTACTGAAGACAAAGTTCTAAAGGCTTTATCAAGTTGTAATGGGGACAAAGCTTCGGGCCTGACGGGTTTACTATGCGTTTTCTAATGGAAAGTTGGGCGGTAGTGAGAAATGAGGTAATGGGTACATTTCAGGAGTTTCATTCTACTGGCGTCTTTGAGAAGTCGCTAAACGTCTCATTCATTGCCTTTATCCCTAAGAAGGGAGGCGCTTTTGACATTAAGGATTTTAGACCAATTAGCTTAGTGGGTTGTATTTACAAACTCATAGCTAAGGTGCTTGCTCTAAGGATGAGGGAAGTAATGGATGGGATTATCTCGGATTCCCAGAATGCTTTTGTCGGAGGACTGCAAATTCTAGATTCAGTTCTTATTGCAGGAGAATGTGTGGATTCCAGATTGCGAAGTGGTGTTCCTGGAGTTTTATGCAAACTTAATATTGAGAAAACGTATGATCATGTGAATTGGAATTTCCTACTATATTTGTTGCAAAGAATGGGGTTTGGAAGTAGATGGAGGAAATGGATTGAGACATGTCTTTGGTCTGTCAAGTTCTTAGTTCTTGTGAACGGATCTCCCGTTGGTTTTTTTGGGTGTACTCAGGGTTTAAGATAAGGAGATCCTTTGTCGTCTTTCCTTTTTCTAATTGTTATGGAGGGCTTAAGCAGACTTATGCGAAGGGTAGAGGATCTTGGTCTTATTAAGGGCTTTAGGGTGGGAAGAGATTTAGTCCATCAGGTGGAGATTTCTCATTTACTTTTATTGGATGATACCCTAGTTTTCTATGATGTTGATGTGTCTCAACTTAGATATTTGAGGTGCATCCTGGCTTGTTTTTAGGCGGTTTTCGGGCTCAAGGTCAACGTGGCTAAGTGCGTGCTTGTCCCGGTAGGAATGTTTAGGATATTTCTTCTTTAGCTGCAGTCCTTAGGTGTAGGGTGAGTTCTTTTCCCATTCCTTATTTGGGTTTGCCCCTAGGGGTTTCTTCCAGGAGAGTGGGAAGTTGGGATCCTGTGATTGATAGGCATGCGAAGAGATTGGCAGGATGGAATAAGCAATACTTGTGTTCGGTTTCTCTTGTGGGAGGAGTCAGGGTGTGGAAATCCATTCGGAAGGGATGGGATGTCTTGTCTTCTCATATCAGATTCAAAGTTTGTGACGGTAGATATGTTCGTTTTTGGGAAGATCTTTGGTGTGGTGACCAGCCATTATCTCGTACATTTCCCAGATTATACAATGTTGCAGCTGACAGAAACGCCTACGTAGCTGACTGTTATCGGCTTGATAGTAGTGGGATTACGTGGGATGTGCACTTTCGGCGTTCCTTTTAGGATTGGGAGTTGGACAAGGTATGTGTTCTTCTTGATTAGTTGTATCGGCAGGAGGGAGTTGTCAAAGGTTGTGACGATCTGACATAGGATTCCCTCTTCCCATGGTCGTTTCGAAGTGCGATCTTTGTTCTTATGTCTATCTAATTTTGATAGCCTTGACTTTCCGTGGAAGACCATTTGGCGTTCTATAGCTCCAACTAAGGTGGCATTCTTTGTTTGGACCGCTGTATGAGGTAAGATACCGACGATTGATAATTTGAGGGGGAATTGTTTTGTTATTATTATTATTATTATTATTTTTCATAATTTGTTTTGTTAATTGGTGTTGCCTATGTAAGCAAGATGGTGAGTCAATTGATCATATCCTCATGCATTGCCCCGTGGCGCACGATTGTTGGAATCTTATTTTTGGGTTGTTTGGCATGCGTTGGGTAATGCCACGTTCTTCTAAGGATTTGATTCATGCTTGGAGAGGAAGTCGTGTGAGAAGAGGTGTACGCGATTATTGGAGAGTTGTCCCACATTGCATTTGGTGGTGCATCTGGAAGGAGAGAAATAGTAGAATGTTCGAAGGGAAGGAGTCGTCTACGGCACCCAAAAACTTTATATTATTCATTCTCTTTTCAAATATGTGAAGAGGAGTTCTTGCTCCTCTTCCGATGATTTAATTATTTTTTTGGATTCTTTGGGGCCGTAGCCCCGGTTCCACTTTTGTATAAGGGACGCGTTCCCTTTTTGAACGCCTTTTTATTTATTTCTTACTTATCAAAAAAAAAAAAAAAAGGCGGGGGAACCTACGAGCCAAAGCAATCTCCCCACACCAATGGTCCTCCCAAAAGCTAACATTTCTCCCACTCCTAACTCCGAACCGGATCCTTTTGGAGTACTCATCCCATCCTTTACGAATAGCTTTCCAGGCTCCCACACCCGATGCTGACCTCACCTCCCTAGATGACCACCCTCCATTATCTTCCCCATATTTGCATGCAAAAACACGTCTCCAAAGGATAGTCCTGTCATCCCCAAATCTCCATAACCATTTTCCCAACAATGCCTTGTTAAACATTTCCAGCTTTCTGATTCCCAACCCTCCCTTCTTAATAGGGGTGCAAACTTTCTCCCAATTAACCAGATGATATTTGAACTCATCTCCCTTGCCTCCCAACAAAAAGTTCCGTTGTATCTGATCAATATGACTCACCACCAAGCTCCACCGTCATAGGCATTGGGAAGAGAGACAAAAAATAGGTAGGAACATTCGAAAGAGTGCTCTTCATGAGGGTAAGCCTTCCCCCTTTCGACTAGTATTGTCTCTTCCATCCTGATAACCTCCTCTAAAAGCACTCGACAACCGGATCCCAAACAGACATCCTTCTCGTCGAAATTCCCAATGGTAGCCCCAAATAGGAAATCGGAAAAGACCCAATACCACACCCCAAAATATCAGCCAGCTCGTGAATGTTCTCTACCTCCCCAACTTGCACCATTTCGCTTTTCCCAATATTTATCTTCAACCCCAAGACAACTTGAAAACAAGCCAAGACGCACCTCAAATGTCTCAGTTGATGAACACTGGCATCACAAAATACAATGGTATCGTCGGCAAATAGCAAGTGAGAGATTCCCAGCTGATTAGGATTCCGACCCACAGAAAAGCCTTGAATGCAATTTAGTTGTTCCGCTCTCCTCGTTAGTCTACTAAATGCCTCCATAACAATAATGAATAGAAACAGAGACAGAGGATTCCCCTGTCGTGACACTCTAGAGCTAGCAAAAAAAAAAGACTGGTGAACCATTCACAAAAACAGAAAAGCACGCCGTCGAGATGCAAAAATATATCCATTTCTGGCTGAACCCCATCCTTGCCATTAAGTACATCAAGAACTTCCAGAAAACGTGATCATAAGCTTTTTTAATATCCAATTTGCAAACAATCCCCGGTATCCCACTTCTAATCCTAGCCTCAATACATTCACTGGCAATTAAAACCGAGTCCAGGATCTGGCGCCTCCAACAAACGCATTTTGTGATTCTGAGATCACTCCATCCAAAACTCCCCTCAAACGGACGGCTAAGGCTTTCGCTATAATTTTATACACTGCACCAACTAAACTAATTGGTCTGAAACCTTTTGCCTCAATCGCTCCACCCTTTTAGGAATAAGGCTGATGAAGGAATGCGTTCAAACTCTTCACAAACTGGCCCTCCTAAAAAAAACAGCAATAGTTCCCAACACCTCCATCTTCACCACCTCCCAATTTTGTTGGAAAAAAGTAAAAGTAAAACCATCCGGCCCCGGAGCTTTGTCCCCATCACAACTCCCCAAAGCTTCCAAAACCTCTGCCTCCTCAAACAGTCTCTCAAGCCACTCTTTGTCCTCAATTGAGATTGCTGAAAAATCAAGCCCATCAAGCCTAGGTCTCCATCCAGCTGTCTCCGTAAATATCTGCTCATAATAAGCCACGAACCCATTCCGAATATCCTCCTCTCTGGTTGCCATATTCCCATCAAATCGGATCCTCCCCATATAATTTCCCCTTCTATGGGCATTGGCAAGACGGGGAAAAAAGTTGTATTCCGATCCCCATCCTTAAGACACAGAGCTCTAGATTTTTGCCTCCATGACATTTCCTCCATTATTGCAATCTCACCAAAATTAGCCTTACACTTCTCCCTCCTCATCACCTCCGTATTATTTAGCCCCTCCATACCTTCCTTCCCATCCAATTCTGAAATTTCAGCAAGAATTCTGTTCTTCAGCCATTCAAGGTTACCAAACACTTCCTTATTCGACACCTTGATATCATCCTTCAAACGCTTAATTTTAAAAGCAAGCTGGAAACTTGGGGTACCCCTGCACTCATAGCTAGACCCCAATTCCTTAACCTTGTCTTTAAAACCCACAACACGAAGCTACATGTTTTCAAATCTAAATGGGGTTCTTCCTCTCCTCACCCCTCCACAATCAAGCAAGATAGGTTTATGATCAGAAACTGCTCGTGCTAAAGCCACTTGGGACACATTTGGAAATTTCTCCTCAAACTCCCCAGATAATCTTCCTTATTAAACAAGTTGCTCACCTTCAACAATTCATGTGACAAGAATGTGCTGCTGTGACTGTGAGAAAGAACTCCACTATTCTTGACATGGATTTAGTGTGTTGAAACTTGAAAGGTAAACATCTGCTGACCGATTTGGGATGAAGCCACTGCTTGTGTTGTACTTGGTGATTTGTTCCCACTTAAGGAACACATTTTATTAATTTTTTATTATTATTATTTTTGAAGAGGGAGGGAAGGGGGGGGGGGGGGGGGGGGGGGGGGGGGGGGTGTAATAGAAGGTAGGAGGCAAAGAGCCTGACTGAGGTTAACATAGGCTTAAATAATTAGAAATGATTTAAACTTTAAAAAGTTAAATATGATAGGGTTAAATATGATAGGAGAGATGGCTTGTATGGGATTAAGGCAGGGATGAATAATAACTGCAGCGTACATGGATTGGCGTAGGCTTACCTAACATTGCTGCAGTTCATGTCACTCAGTTTTCCCTTTCATAGTATGTGGACATCGTTCGAATTTCTCAGTGATATTGCTTTGATCTGGCAGGTCTTTCCCTTGCTTATTGAAAAGTTTTCATTTGAAGAGCAGGCATCATTGGTATGGCAGTTTTTGTGCAGCATTCCTGTGAATATGATGGCAGAGTTTTTGCCATGGCTTTCTTCCTCTATGTCCTCTGATGAAGGTGAGGATATGCGTAAATGCTTGTGCAAAATAATTCCAGAAGAGAAACTTCTTCAACAGGTGAGGGTCCTTCGAGTGTGGAACCCATGCCTGAAAAGATTTTATCTAATTATAGTTTTGGTTAATTTTACTTTGTTATAATGAAGGTTATATTCACCTGGATGGATGGGGTAAAGGTTAACAGAAAGCATGAAAGTTGTGGAGATGATTCTAAGCACCAAAATTCTCTGGATTCTGGGGCCAGCAGGCCCAGCAGCTTGATCAGTTCCAAGGAGAAAGGGCATTGTGTTTGTGAATCTTCTAGGACTATCAAAAGAAAATATATTGAATTAAATTGCGATCTCACAGAGTCCAGTCTGGCCTGTCCAGTTGATGAAATATTGCATTGGCATAATGCTATAAAAAGAGAATTGAATGATATAGCTGGAGCAGCTAGGCGGATCCAATTATCTGGAGATGTTTCTGATTTATCTGCATTTAATCAGAGGCTGCAATTTATTGCTGAAGTTTGCATCTTTCACAGGTATGTTATCTGCTTATATATATATTTCAATTAGTATTCTGCAAGCAGTGATCATTGCCTTTGAGTACTATGGTTACTATGCTTGAATAGTGGATTGGTTATTGTACGAGTCTTGTGGAAGAATGTTCTACTTGGATGGTCCTTCTTGAAGATCATGCCTCATACATATATTCATCCACTTCATGAACTCCATAAGTTGGAATACATTAAATTCTTTAAAAGTTCAAAACCACCAAGTATGGAAGACTGAGGTACAAAATCAGTTTGAGGTATGCAGTCAATTATTTGATGATTGCTTACCTTCAGTAAATGTGATTAGTGTGAACATTTTAATTTTTTACCTAGTCACATCTTGTCAACCATGGAACTAGAGAAACCATTCAGAATAGCCCCTTTGTCCTCCATATCATTGGGATTTTCTTAGCATTCATTTGACCTATAGAAACACTCATAATTTGAAACAGTGTAGCCTTCTATTTTCCCCTATAACACAGTCTCTCCTGTCGCTTTGGCTGCAGTATTGCTGAGGACAAAGTTATATTCCCTGCTGTAGATGCAGAACTCTCTTTTGCCCAGGAGCATGCAGAAGAAGAAAGTCAATTTGACAAGTTGAGATTTTTGATAGAAAGTATTGAAGGCGACAAAGCTAGTTCATCTAGTGGGGAGTTCTATACAAAGTTGTGTTCACATGCTGATCACATAATGGATACCATACAGAAGCACTTCAGCAATGAGGAAGCTCAGGTGAGTAACATTATTGATACTGCGAACCTTTTTGATCTTAGATAATTAGTGTCAAGTTGTTCCACAGAAAAGGAATTTATATTATGCAAGAGTAAATGGTTCTGGATGGCTTATGAAAGCAACCTCAGCTTGTCTTTGGAGTTTCTGTTCTTTGCATTTCTTTACATCTGGATCTGTGTGGAACACTTTTAAAATATAGTCTTGATATCAGTTCACATTTGCAATTTTAAATAAGCACCACTTGCCATCCTAAAAGACTTCTGCTAAATTGATTGCATATATAGGTTCTTCCACTTGCCCGAAAGCATTTTAGCCCCAAACGACAGCGGGAACTTCTGTACCAAAGCCTATGTGTGATGCCCCTGCGACTAATTGAGTGTGTCTTACCATGGCTGGTAGGATCACTTAGCAAAGCGGAAGCAACGTGTTTTCTTCACAATATGCATATGGCAGGTTCTGTATCTATTCCTACTTATCGGAAAAGTAAATATCAATTTTCTGCTGCTTTTTTGGAACAATCTGTTATCGGTTATGGACAATAAGTACGGTGAATGTTGTATGCTTTCTTTTCATTTGTTTATAATTGATGTGTGGTTATCTGATGCAGCTCCAGCATCAGACATTGCACTGGTCACACTTTTTTCTGGGTGGGCATGCAAAGGTCGTTCTACAGATGTTTGTCTGTCTTCAAATGCAATTGGTTGTTGTCCTGCAAAAATGCTTACTGAAGCCGAAGAAGGTTTTGATAAGCCTCCTTGTGCTTGCACCTCTTTGTCTTCCACTGAAGAAAATCTCACTTTTGTTCAATTAGATTATTATCAAAGGCCAACAAAACTTGGAAACTCAATGTCACGTGAAGAAAGTACTGCTTGTGATCCTTCAGGAACTGTAAATGCCCAGATACTATCTTGTAGTAATCAGTCTTGCTGTGTACCTGCATTAGGAGTGAATAGCAATAATCTGGGAATGAGTTCTCTTGCTGCAGCAAAATCTTTGCGCTCCTTATCTATTGTTCCTTGTGCTCCATCCCTTAACTCCAGTCTTTTCAACTGGGAAATAGATACAAGCGCGACTGATATTGGTTGTGCAACACGACCCATCGACAACATATTTAAATTTCATAAAGCTATTCGGAAAGATTTGGAGTATCTGGATGTTGAATCTGGAAAACTTAATGATTGTAATGAGGCTTTCCTTAGGCAGTTTTGTGGTAGGTTTCGTCTTTTATGGGGCTTATATAGAGCTCATAGTAATGCTGAGGATGAGATAGTGTTCCCAGCCTTAGAATCAAAAGAAACTCTTCATAATGTTAGCCACTCTTACACCTTGGACCACAAGCAGGAAGAAAAATTATTTGAGGATATTTCATCTGCACTTTCTGAGCTTGCTCAACTTCATGAAAACTTGAACAGTACAAAACCGGTTGGAGGTTCAAGTAGAAGTAACTTTGATTGTTCTTATCGCGATAGTAGTTTAATAAAGTACAATGAGCTTGCTACAAAGGTTCAGGGCATGTGCAAATCCATAAGAGTAACATTGGATCAGCATGTTATTCGTGAAGAACTTGAGCTCTGGCCACTGTTTGGTAGACATTTTTCCGTAGAGGAGCAGGACAAAATTGTTGGTCGTATTATTGGTACCACAGGTGCAGAGGTGCTCCAATCAATGTTGCCATGGGTAACATCTGCTCTCACTCAGGAGGAGAAGAATAAAATGATGGACACGTGGAAGCAAGCGACCAAAAACACAATGTTCACTGAGTGGCTTAATGAATGGTGGGAAGGAACAGCATCCGCATACTCGCAGACTGCAACATCGGAGAATAATACCTCACAAGGTTGGCACATGCTTTTGTTGGTGCTGTCAATGCGTATATTTTGCACTGTTGACTTCTATGGTTCTTGTTAAATAACTAGTAGACTGCAATTTTAAATGTGAAGCAGTTACTTTTTCTCTTTCTCATGTCTTTTAAATCGCATTATCAGTCACCGATGTCCTTGAGACCCTGGACCAAAGTGATCATGCTTTCAAGCCTGGCTGGAAAGATATTTTTCGGATGAATCAAAATGAGATTGAATCAGAGATAAGGAAGGTTTCGCCGGATTCGACTCTTGATCCAAGAAGAAGACAATATCTCATTGAAAATCTTGTGACCAGGTTTTTCTTCTTGTGCCCATCTCCTAATTTCATGTTGGAAGTATTCATTAGTATGTCTTCTACTTATTTGTATTAATACGTCGATTATGCCAGTCACTGGATAGCTGCTCAGCAGAAGTTACTTCAAGCAAAAATGGGTGAAAGTTCAAATAATGAAGATCTACGTGGGTGCTCTCCGTCGTTTCGTGATCCAGAGAGAAAAGTGTTTGGTTGTGAGCATTACAAAAGAAACTGCAAACTGCGTGCTACTTGCTGTGGCAAGTTATTTACATGCAGGTTCTGCCATGACAAAGTCAGCGACCATTCTATGGATAGGTAACTGTTTTGCCCTTTTGTGCTTTATTCTGGTTGAGTTTTAGTTCATTTGATATCTTAATCTATTCTCAGGAAGGCTACCTCTGAAATGATGTGCATGGGCTGCCTTAAAATTCAGGCCATTGGACCAATCTGCACAACACCTTCTTGCAATGGACTATCTATGTCAAAATACTATTGCAGTGTCTGCAAGTTTTTTGATGATGAAAGGTGATAAAGCTTTCATTGAAACCTCTCATTTCCACTACTTATTATTTGCAGATGCAATGAGTCTTTGAAGTTATTCCTAAATGCTAAATTTCTTTATAGGGAAGTTTGATAGATTAAATTGCTGAGTAAACCTGTTAGCTTATTTATGATTTGTCAGTGATAATATGGATATGTTCACTGGTGCTGCACTTTAACATAGATGTAGGATGTCAAATATGGTTCGATACAAACCTGTAGTTCTTCCTTATGATACGACAATTCTATGTGTGTTCATACATGTCTGTTTATGTGTACATCCATGAGCCCTCTGCATTTGTATCAATATTTATAAATTACTATACAAATTTCTTTTTTCCAATATTAAATTAAAATTCCAGACAATATAAATATCCTTTCATAATTTCATAAGCATCAATACATAATAAAGCAAAAAACAGTGAGGAACATTCTGGAGATGCATATTTAGCATCCTCATTTTAAGTTTGTGGATACTAAGGTAACTCAAATTTGCATGCCAAAGTTGGGTCTGGACACAAACATTACCAAGAGTAACACATATTTTTTATAGTAACAAGTTTCCCACATATTGTACAACTTGTCGTTTTTAGTGTTTTTTTACATGGTCCATCAAGTTGTTTTTCCTGTGGAGAGTATAGGTGTGGTTGTCTTCATTGAAGGGAGATGTGTAAAAACTTTGGTTTATAAAACTGTGAAAACATAGGAGATGATCAAATGGATCTTCCAAATGCATTGATTCTTAATTTCGGAAAATGAAAAATTACTGTGAACTTTTGAACACAAATAGCCTTCTAATGGGAAATTGTGGTTTGCATCCTATATCAGAATATACTCCTCGGGAGGAGGCATGGTATCAAACAAGTGAACGCATAGGTCACTTTTTCTCCGAACATATGGGTTTTACAACTCACAAAGCAAGTCATAATTATAGGGAAATAGAATGAGGGCTTGTAGTTTCTGATGCTTTATTTTGTTGATAATCATTTCTTCGAATCTGACTTTTGTGTTCTGTTGCACTTCAAACTTGCAATGAGAGCTTCTTCAAGAGCAAAGCTAGTATATTCTATATGTAAATTTTTTTTGGTTAGGTTATGTATACATGTGTAGTATTTGTATGAAGATCTTGAATACAAAGCAAAATACGTTTTGTCATTGTTTGTTTTGTTCATGTGATTCATAATTGTTTGATGGTGGATCTCATTTTGTGCCTCATTTGGCTTTGTAGAACTAGATTATTCTTCTCTTCTGGGAACCCAAAATGCAAAGCATTGAAGTTTCATAATTACAAACGTTGGAAGAAAACCTCACTCTTTTCTGATAGCCTTACCATATACCTACATGTAGAGAGCTTCATAAAATTACGAACTAACATAGGAAGTACATCCAATTCGTGGTTTAAGGTCTGCTGGAAATGCTAGTTTGTCCTGTTTTATTGTGGGACTAGGTCACTGAAATGTAGGGGTGGCAAATGGGCGAGTTAGTAATGGGTCACTGAAATGTAGGGGTGGCAAATGGGCGAGTTAGTAATGGGTCATTAACCTGCTAATAACCCGTTTGGGGAAGTCATAAGCGGGTCGGGTTTTAATATATGAGTCAAGCCACCCGATGACCCAAACTAACATAGAAAGTACATCCAATATGTGGCTTAAGGTTGGAAATGCTAGTTTGTTTTGTTTTATTGTGGGACAAGGTCACTGAAATGTAGGGGTGGCAAACGTACGGGTTTGGGTCAAGTAATAAATAGGTGTTTAGTAACGGGTCATTAACCTGTTAATGACCCATTTGGGCGGGTCATAAGCGGGTTGGGTAATAATGGACGAGTAAACCCACATCTAACCCGATAACCACCCTATGTGTTTATTTATTTTTAAAAATTTGTACACAAACGTTTGTCTATTAAAAAACACAGGTTAGTTTATATCAAACCCCAATAATCTATGAATATATGCAACTGGTTTGTAACTATTTTTTATTTATTAATATTTTTTTGTATACACAACATCTAAAATTGTTAGATTGATCAAAATTAGAGCACTATATTGTCCTTATCCTAAAATAATATATATAATGCATAATAATAATAATAATAATAATAATATATTTTTTGGATAAGTAAGATTTCATTAACGACACTCAAGAGGGGAGTGCTCCCAAAGATAATGCATAATAACTATTAATTACTTAAGAATCTAATTTAAAGGATGATACAAATAAAAAATGATCGAGGGCTTGGCCATCAAGAACAACAAATACAAGATAATGATTTGATATAAGAACAATTATTATAATTTTTTATAGTATGAAGCAAAAACAGAGAACAGAGAACAAAGCAAAACCATCAAGAACTACAAATAAAAAATTTAGCTAAAAAATAAGTGAATGAAAATCAACACATAACTAGCAAAACAATGAAAACCCAATACAAATATTCATTTGATTAGTAAGGAAAAAAATGTGCTTATATATATACATATATATTATCAAAATAGTTATCTAGTTTCATCTTAAGAAGCTCTCCTTCATGGATGAAATGGTCTAGTTGGGCATTGGGCTGGAAAAGCTATCCAACCTAGATAAGCTAACCGAGCCCACCAATACAATGGCAAAAGAGAAAGTTAGGAAAACACACATCATAGACATTAGAAGACCACGAGAACAAGCCATCTTTTATAGAGAGAAAGAGTTAGAGAGAGAGGGAGGGAGCTCAGTGAAGCTTCTACTTTGCAAATACTTTGTGACGGCCAATGATTCCATTTCCAACCCAAAAGAAAAGGAAAATCCTCATTTGATACATGGAGTGCTGGGTAGCACCTCTGATGGCTATACACTAAAATACTTAGTGTATATGAACTTATGAAGAAACTGAACACACACACACACACATATATATGTATATGAACTTATGAAGATGATGAACTATCTTGTAGAGAAAGAAAGAAGGAGATGGGTGTGGGGATGAGGTGAGTGAACTTGAAAATTGAGTGGGCAGAGGGCAAAGTTTGAGATAGAAAAAGAGGTGAAAAATCATGTAGAGAGAGAATCATCATGTGGAGGGAGAAAGGAGAGGGGTGTGGGGATGAACTTGAAAATGATGTGGGCAGAAAGCAAAAGTTTTAGCCAAAGAAAATTGCTGGTTTATGTTTGGTGACTTAATTTATGTTTAGGCAGGTTGCAAGTGGATACCCACTCTCAACCTGCTAATGACCCTCTAATTATACTTTTATTTATTTAATTAACTAACCCGTTAATAACTCGCTTATTTAAATCACTCACTCAATAACTCATTTTTGGTGGGCGGGTTAGTGAGTTTGGGTAATTTTTGCCTCCTGTCATTGATTTTGTTATTTAGAATTACATATATACCCTTAGTACATAGCTTTAGATACTAATGTAGTTTAATTGATATATCTTTATGTTATAGCATCATTCGCTTACAAGATATTCTTATATTAACAGACGAGCCTAGAGTTTTTCAATAGTTCAAACTCTTGTAGCACTAAGGTGTTGTTACGACAAATGCAGCGAACCCAAGCAACAATTATGAAGCACGATAGGAAAATAAGCACACCACACACAAAGAACACATAGATTTATACGTGTTTTGGCAAAGCCTACGTCCACGGTGGAGATCCAGCTTAAGTCTTCACTATGTGTAAAATCGGAGGTTACAAGTTTCAGCCGCTCACTCTGTACGATTTTTAGTGCTATTCATTCTACCCACTCCAAACCCTAAACGCCCTTATACATCGGGCTACAAGAGAGTACTAATTAGGGTCCATGAGCCACTAGTAAAAAGGGGTCAAAATTTTTTCCTCAAGACCAAGGCCCCAAAACCCCAGAGCTTTGGTGGGCTTGGGCCCACACAAACCTCATCCAATGGGTTGTCGGGTCAAAAATTACTATCACTTGAGTTGTGTTACTTGGACTCCTCTGTTCAGGCCGAAGTGTCCATGTCGACACGACACGACACAACATGGACACCATATTCTTGAAATTGATTTTTAGTTAATTCTGTTTTAATTGAAAAATTAGTTAAAACAATTAGTTAGTTCTGCAAGACCTATTCATTCCCCTCTAGGTCTAGATCAGTAGACCTTGCGTGACTCTCTATCAGAGCCTTGGGTTTAGTTCCTACGAACTTTCAGATAGCACTCTAGACTTTTCTCCTACAAGAAGCCTAGATATTTGTAAAACTATGCGACTCCAAAAATTTCTCAAACATTCCGTACAACTAATTTAAAGCTCTACACCATTCTAAAATACCCTACACAACCCATAAATTCTATGTAGAAAATACTAAACACTTACCACAGACACACCATGCAGTAAGTGCAAGTGTGTCACTTGCGTGGCCTAACATTCTTATCATTTAGGGTGACATTAAGCTTCCCTTGTTACATTTACTTCCATATAAGAGACGTTTATATTGCCACAAATGACGATTATGGAATGAGAAGTAGCCATTGGTACCACAAATGACGATTATAGAATGAGAATTAGCCCTTGGTGGCTGTTTATGTTTTATTATTATTTCATAACTAGTATATTTTCCATCTTCTGTTTTCCTCAGTGTTACAAATTGAAAAGCTTGAGCATGTGTTGAGTATTGGTTACAGTTGAGATTTCTTTGTAACTATGTCATCAAGATAGCAGATTGGCTTCTATTTAAGTCAACTCTGCTGAATGCACCAGCTGTAAGAACACTATCAGATTGCCGAATTGAATAGAAGTAGAAATAATGGTGGCCTGCCCCTTTATTATTTCCACAAGGATTGTACTATGTATGAATGTCACAAAAAGAGTAATATAGCTTAATAGAAACCTATTTTAGTGCTTTGGCTCAGTTCTGTAATTTGTTGTTCTGGCAACTTATATCAGTGACTGTTCTTAAAGTTGTTTATTCTTGTGTTATGTATGAATGTGGCAAAAAGAGTAATAGCTTAGAAGAACCTATTTTAGTGCTTTGGCTCAGTTCTGTAATATGGTGCTATGGCAACTTATATCAGTAACTGTTCTTGAAGTTATTTTTGACCTTCCTTTTTCTGTTTCCCTCTTATTTTGCAACATTAGGACAATTTATCATTGCCCTTTTTGCAATCTATGTCGCGTCGGGACAGGACTTGGTGTTGACTTCTTTCACTGCATGACCTGCAATTGCTGCCTTGCAATGAAATTAGTTGACCACAAATGTTGGGAGAAAGGTCTCGAAACAAATTGCCCCATATGCTGTGATTTTTTGTTTACATCTAGTGAAATCGTCAGATCTCTTCCTTGTGGCCATTTCATGCATTCAGCTTGCTTTCAGGTTAGTTCTATATTTGCTGCTCCTTTGCTACTTGTTTTTTGTTTTGTTTACCTAACGTGCAAACAATTTAATTTTCCATGAAATGTTTGACACATAAATGTCTTGTGTCCTCCATTTTACAGGCGTACACTTGTACTCACTACATTTGTCCAATTTGTAGCAAATCTTTGGGAGATATGGCGGTAAGAATTTTTTTCCTTTCTAGGCAAACTATATTTTTAAAAAAGTTCATTCATAGTGCTTTTCTCCTTAGATTCATTGAGGATGCACAACTTACATTGTATACATGATTGAAGTTTATTATTTTAATTTCTGAAGAGAGCATCTTTCTGCATAATCTTGTAGCATTTAAAGGGGACTTGTTTTTCTTGAATGTTCTGAGATAGGTCATTTTGGAATAGTAAGCAAAATACTGTTTTATATTTTTAACAATCTTTCTAATGACTTTGCTGATGATTTTATCTCTACCTTGTGTCTAAGTGTGAAAGTGATTAATTGCAGAGGACTTGACTCGGACAACACCATAACAATTAAGTACTAAGAACAGCAGGATCGTATGATCTATCTGAACCTGGGGGGGGGGGGGGGGGGGGGGGCTGGGGGGGTGGGTTTGAATAGGTCTTATGGACATTTTAATGCTTTTAAAAGCTCTCTTATTATGATGTCAAATTACTTCTTTAAAATGCATCTTCAGAATACTTGTGATAATAAAGATCAAACATGCATTCCTATTTCACATATATTATAAGATATGAAACAAAAATAAAGTGAAGTGAAGTGAGAATAAGAGAACCGATATATGTGGAAAACCCCCTCCTCGGGATAAAAAAACCATGGGAGCCTCTTGATAGGCCAAGACCAATCCACTATGAAGAAAGAGATTACAATCAGATCCGTTCAACCTCTGTACTCTAGTTAACCTCCAGACTCACCTAGACACCAAATCTTCAATGCCTGTTCACCACAAGTGATTGCTCCTCATAACCCAATTGCCTTACTTCAGCGCGCTCCAGAAGATCTTTTCAGGTCGTCCTCTAGTTTATCAATGTAACAACTACATAAACTAGGAAAAAAAAAAAATGAAACAACTACATAATCTCATTGATCCATAGCAATCTCATTATGAACTGCTTCTTCACCTTAAATTGTCTTCAACCTGCCCCAAGATACTCAGTTGTATTATTTTAACTCAAGCATCTGTTCCACCCAATTATTCTTCACCACGCACAGTTTCGAACCAATCGTTTTAGTTCAAACCACATGTTTGTTTCAATCCACGTAATTTTTTGTGTTTTGTGTTTGGCGTGTTTATTTTCTGTCGTGATTCTTGATTGTTTCTTAGGTTCGCTGTGTTTTTCGTAACACAAACTTTAAGAGATGAGTGGCTATATGAAAATATTCGCACGGCCCATGTTTTAAACTGATCTAGGCCTCCTTATATTGACCAACAACTTGTTCTTCAAGTATTAGGTCTTTCCATGTGCGTATAATCTGGTTTAGGGAAGTTTCTCCCCATTTTATTTCCATTGATCGATACAAAGGCGGCGTCGATCAAATGAATGCTCCGATTGAACCAAGTCTCTAGTTTTGGGGATCAATATTTATACATCATCGATCAAATGATGTGTATGAGGTTTCGATCGATGTGATGCAGTTTACTTCGATCGATGTTTATTAAGGCTCGATCAATCGACACAGTTAATACTTCGATCAATCATGTTCCAGCATCCTGAGATTCAAGTTGACACTTGCTTTGATGGATCAATTACCTACTAGGACTTTGATCAATGTTTCTATACTTCGACAAACTTCACTAAAAATAATTTTCATGCAATTTTAAGGTCCAGAAAAGTTTTCTTCAAGTAAAATTGAAGAAAGTTTTCGAAACTTTGAAACTTGTCAAAATAAGCACATATGCATATTTTAAAACTTTTGTTAGTGTATAAGCAATTGCCTAAGTTGAAACTTTGAAACACAGCATATAAAGCATATAGCATACAATTGGAAACTTTTTTCCTTAAAGACACAAGAAATACCATATGTAACTAACTATATATGAGAAAGCTCTAGAAACTTAACATATATAATTTAAACTTGTGTAACCAGATTTCTTGATGCCAAAGAAATATATATAAGAATATATATGAATAAGTAGGTTCTAAATGCACACAATATGCAATATCATTATGTGACTCGTATGCAAAACCTACTATGCCCTATCAATAAACTTAAACTTGATAAATTGAGCATGGATGAGAAAGATATGGACTTTTCTTGATGCATAAAAGGATGTTCAAGTAAGTTGTGAAAACTTTGAAACTAGAATACGGGAAAATTATCTGCATGTCTAGAAAAGTTATAAAAATGTATCTCACTCAGCCCATAACCAAAATAACCTATTTCCAAGGTCAAGCTAAGTCATTACCTGAAACTTATTCAACTGATTGAATATTCATTGATTCCACCTTCTTGCACATTGTGTCTATTCTGTCTCTTCATGCCTTATTGCCTTGTCTTTGCTGAAGTTCTTTGTCTGACTCAACGATACTAGAACAGTTACCAGTCTTTATAATGGCATGCAATTTATTTTATTTTATTTTTCCCAATTTCTTTGATTTATTAACCCTATCAGACTTCCACTAGGATGTGTTGGTGAAGATGTGACCTGGTATTGCATATTTATGCTAGTTGACTAGAATTAGGCATGCTGCTTCTGGTATTCATTGGCAATTCATGTATTATGGGCACGCTATCTAGTATCCACAACGGATGTTGTGTTGACTACTAACTTATTGATGTGACCTTGTGATTTGGCATGCCATTCATTGGTGGAACATAGGCAAAATTGATGGGGAAAAGAAGAATGACCATACGATCCGTTTTGCATAATTACTCACTTATAGTAACATTGACATCTCATCAACTATAATGGTGCCTGTGAGCTAGATTCCTTTAAAGAAGGAATTGCTACCATCTAGGCGGAACAACCTTATTTTTCTCTTTTGGGGATTCTAGTTTAGTAAAACATAGAAAGTGCACCTTCAAATTCACGAGCACTTTGTGCTTTTGATGCAAATATTAGGTTTCCATCCAGTCAATCTCTTCCAGCACCCCGATTGCACTTCAAATGTATTTTGATTCTAGTTCCTTCGATAAATGCCAGTTTGTTACAAAATGTGTTAGAAAGCTATTGGGTTCCTATGCCGTAATCATATCTCATGCAGTAAATTTGAAAAATTACATGGAATACCATTTTGTAAAGTTTCTGTTGCTTACCTCTACTCAGGTATATTTCGGCATGCTTGACGCTTTATTAGCTTCTGAGGAGCTCCCAGAAGAATTTAGAGATCGCTGTCAGGTAGACCGTCTGTTCTCCATTTTGCTGTTCTTGAGGTTCCTTTCCTTTCAGGGCTAAATAAATACTAAATAAATATAAATTTGGTGAATCCAGGATATACTGTGCAATGACTGCGAAAACAAGGGAACTTCACCCTTCCATTGGTTGTACCACAAGTGCGGGCATTGTGGATCATACAATACCAAAGTAATCAAGGTTGACTCATATTCCAATTGCTCGATATCACGATAGCTTACCAAGGACATCTGGGCTCTCCATAGATGATATATAGGTATATAAATATCAACCATGATTATACACGTATTTGTAAATTAAATTGGTCCAGTTTGCTCAAAATTTTGGCATTGTATAAAATCCTCGGTTGTTGTATCCATTGTTCCACGAGCTGTCGTGTCGTTATTTTACAGACTGTGATTCTTTAGCACGCTTAATGCTGGATTTCGTGTAGAATTTCTGCACAACAGAAACTGAAGAGCGGTCGACCCTAGATTGCAAACTGTAATTGAAAGCACCTAAATTGCATGACTCATAAAAAAAAACAAAAACTCTGCTAGAAAATATTTTTACTGGAAATCTCTTCAGCTAATGTTAGGGTTCATGGCTTCTGAGAGCCATCAATGCAAATTTTCAGTCACTCAAACACACGATCACTAAATTCTTGAAATGAAGTAGTTCTTTAATAAACAATGGGGTTGAGAAGTGGCCTTCATCTTAAAAAATTCAGGACAAAAGGAGAGAGAGAGAGAGAGAGAGAGAGAGAGAAGCATAGAAGAAAAAGAGTTAGGAGAGAAGAAAAGTACATGAACACAAAAAGACTGGGTACAATTTCTCTTTAAAATTATTCATCCTACTCTGTGGGATATGATGGTGTGTAATTACCATCTTATCCTGTTACATCACATTTCTTTGTCTATGTTTTTTTTTTTTTTTTCATCATCCCTTATCTCTTTTCTTACAAGTTCTATCTCACTCTGAAAATTTCGAATTCAGTGTCATGGTTCATCAATCTCATCCACTCGTGTAATATTAACACACAAGCATTCAATAGCAACTGACAACATGGACGTGTAAACTTGGCTAAAGTAAAAAAAGTAACACCAAACATTCATGATTTGAAAATAATATTGAGAAGAAAAACGAGTTCTTCAAATAATAAAAGATACAATTTTGAGAAAATACGATGCGAATGCGACCGAACTAAGTCAGTGGCCTGTTTCTAGCATTTCTTTCATTTTGTATATTAATTGAATTATAACATAATACTTGCGTATTGGTATTCACGGATGAGTAAGTGATTCCTATTGACAGCTAATGTGATCTAATTATAAATGCACACACTTGTAATTACAAAATCAGAAAAGCAATATATAAGGAAAATAACTATTTTTGGGATAACCCTTTCTATTTTTCTTATTTATTATTTTTCTTTTTTTGTAATTACATGATGTGCTGTTTATAATTAGACCACGTTGCACTAGTACGCATCACCTGTTCACGTTGCAGTAGGTAAATATTGCCCTAAATTATATCAAGACAATGTTAAAGCACTGCCAGTCCCATAATTAATCTTGGAAAAATTATGCAACGGCCACTCTCATAACTAATTTTGAAAAAATTATTATATGGTCTCGGTACTAATGATTCCGGCCAATCACAAAGTGACACATAAGTGAAAAATAGGTGATTGACAATGATATAGATCTGACACATTTGGTTATGTGTTGCTTCGCAATTGACCTGAGACTAATAATTTTAGAACCATGTAATAATTTCTCAATTAAAGAGGGTTCAAATTGAGAAAGTAAGATTATGTGTCACTTTGTGATTGATCGGTATCATTGAGTCTCGTTTTTTTTTTTTTTCAAGTGGAAGTCTTGGGAGAGAAAAGTGAGAGTTTTAGAAAGAGAAGGTGAGAGAAAGAAGACCTAGGGAGTATTTTTGTTATTTTATAATAATTATATATTTTTAATTTAACATTAAGAATAAGGTCAGTTTGGTTCTTTCACGATCTAAATAACGGATATGAGACAAGGTAATAAAGATTTTTAATTCAGGGAGTCCTTTAATTTTAGTTGATTTTTTTAATTTTTTTTACAATAATAAAAGTATGAAAGGGTTATTTTAGTCAATTTTTTATTTTAAATTTCATAAGAAAGTTCTTGGCACACGCCTAAAGGAACAGGATTCTGCAAGGTAAGGAGTTTATGTGAGTGTGCCAGCTCAACATTAGTACTCAATTTGACCGTTTGGGGGAAAGGTGAAGCTAGAGTGAGAAACAAAATATAGAGAGAGAAAGTAAAGAAATAAAAGTACTCCGTACGTACGAGTGTTTAAGAGAGAGAGACACAGAGAGACGGATAGATAGAGAGACAAGCAAATGTTTTTTATTTTATTTTTGTTTAATCTCTGATATGAATTCTAAACTAGGGTTTTAGAATTGAATTTCGGACAGTTTCTACTTCTTCTCAAGAACCAGAAGAGGGTTTTGCGAAGAGAGTAGCGGAGAGAAGATTTCTCTCTTCGGCGATACGATTTTGAGGCGGGATTTGAATTATTGTTGACTGGGCTCTATCTCTTCGGCGTTCTTCGCTCTCTGAAGATTTTGGGGTTTATGCTTTTTTGTTGGGGGTTTTGATTGCAGGACGGATTTGGGTTTTTTGGGGGTTTCCACATCAAGCGATTTTGATATCTTTTCGTGTTCTTGAGAGGGGCTTCTTGCCTGACAAATCCCTGATCGGTCTGTTTTCCTCTGCAGTGAAAGATGCTTGTGTTAGCACCATTCTTGCTGAACAGAAAGATTTGGCTTCGCACATCAACGGTATTGGCACCAATGTTCAGCAAGAAGAGAAAGCTTTGGCTTTGAACATGAATGGCAGATGCTGCAATGATACAACGAAATATGTTGGTATTGGCACCATAGCTGGTGAGCAGCAAGTGCCCAATTTGGTCTCTGAGGATGCCCCATTGATGTCTCTTCCAATTGGGGAGGGCCTGGACTTAGCACTGGAGCTAGAGTCAATCTTTGCTGACAACGGTTTTGGCCAGTATTTAAGTGACAATCTTGACTATATTGGAGGACCCATTGAACTTCCAAATTGTTATTTCGAGTTGGACGGTGACCAGCTGGATCAAGAAAAGTATGCTTGGGTGGATGAATTTTTGGATATGGAGAAACCCCTCAATATACCATGTCCACAACTTTTGCAGCAAGTAGGGAGGTAGTGTATTTACAGTATCATTAGAATAGTCTCAAGTTTTGCAGATTTTGTCTCTTTGTTTAGAAGAGTGTGTGTATGGATAGTGAGTGAGTCCCTTGGTTTTCCTGTGCCATTAGAGCCGTCCAAGGATTTGGTAAGAGGCAATTACTGTGATTGAAGTGATTGAAGGAAACCGCCTGATCACCAGAATGTATGGTAGTATTAACGGTTACCATTTGTAACGTTGATTAAAGTGCTAATTCGTCGGAGTCCTCCTCCTGTCACCGGAATGTATGGTAGTATATATTAACAGGTTACCATTTGTAATGTTGAGCTCATCATCAATTGGGCTATTTCTGAGGCCTGTACCTTGGGCTCTTGTATGCTCTTATACTATGGGCCCATTGGTTAGCTATTGCTAGCCTTCTATTTTCTCATTTTTTTAATCAAATTTAACTTTTAAAAAAAGAGAGGCAATTACTGTTGCAGTGTCTTTATATCACCCCTTTATTGTTTCAAGCTTATTATGTGATTTGGCCAGTAGTGTATGCGCATGAATGTGACAATTGACCCCAAAGAAAAACGATGTATATCTTTTGGGTTGATTATGTGCTCTGTTTAAAATGAATAGCAAATGATAGTTTCTGCTTTGTTCATACATATGATTCTTTTACATTACTTGATCTAATATTCATTGCACTCACATTGGAAACTGTCTTAGTCAATCCACATATAATTAAATTCAAATCGAAAATATTGATAGAAAATATTCATGACAGCTAATAAGAATTGTAATTTAACCACATTAATATAAACTCAACCCTATAATATTCTCTTGCAAGTTGTGACAGATGTTAGAAAATCTGTATTAAGAAACCCCCAATAACATATAATATAAGTATTTCTTGAAATGCGGTTGAAAATATGAAATCAGTGTTGATAGTATTTTCGACGAAATGTCTCTATAATGTTTCACTTTGGTATTTCTATATTGCTTGGCACTTGATATAATATATGTGTTGTTATTTTTTCAATTTTTTTTTCACTTTTTTACACACCAATCTGCTTTGTCACCGTTGGCTATTGATTCTTGAATTGGATATCTGGGTTGCAAAACGTATCGAGATTGGATTGCCATGGCTCATATTTCTAGTTATTTTTTCATAGGTAATGTTTAATTGTGTATTGCTTTTCATTGCAATGGTCGAGGTTTCGAGCTTTATACTTTTTTTTTTTTTCTCCATTAGAATCCTAAATCATCTTAAGCAAATTGGTGTTTTATCTCATCAGCGTCACACATCTTAATGTTTTCAGTTTATACCTCATCTAATGAGTGGGGAGAGGCATGTCTTTGACCGCTTTGCTGTTATATTCTCGGTGGTGATTGTTTGGATTTATGCTCACCTACTTACTGTGGGTGGGGTATATAAGAACGCACCTATGAAAACTCAATTAAGCTACTGAACAGATGGTGCTGGACTTATAGTTGCTGCTCCATCGTAAGGCTAGTTATTTATCTTCTAATTGATGTTTATGATTCCTGTTATGATGCTTTATGTGATCATGAGTTCCGGATAGTATATCTATAAAAGTATACTCAAATAGGAAAAATCCATGCTAGTTAGCCTACTTTATGCAATAAGCTAAAATAAAGACTCTGGTGAATGCAAGGTTTAGCTGTTCTCCTAATAACTTAAGGATGCATGGAAAACCATTGTGGGGTGTCATTGTTAATAACTGTGACTTATTTTTCTTCTAGACATTTTCAGGATTAGTGTGATACCCCTCGATTCTAGAGTCATGGGTGATCAAGTCCGAGCACAGATCCGAGGGATACCAAACAATTAAGTATATAAACAAGCATTTAAATACAAAAAAGAATAATAAAGAAATAAATAAATAATAAGCTGAAGAAAACTAAATAATAAATCCTTATTTTAAAATTTTCAAATAAATAATAATTAAAAATCCAATAATAAAATCCTCCAATCATCGGATACTAGTAATTAATTAAACTACAACTCGGGAATTCATATTGTGGACCCCTAATAATATCCTCACTAAAATAAAACTAATAAATAAACCATGAAGAAGAGTCATACGTAGAGTTGGAAGAGTGAATGACTATCTCTACTCGGCACGAACAATCTCTAAGACTAGAACTGACGAACACCTGAAAAATAATGGTGGGTCAGACCCACATACAAGT